AAAACAAAACAAAAAACAGGAGCAGCCATGTGCCTGAGTGTAGACAAAATTATAAAGGAGGAGATGCCTGTCCTTCGGCTGCTTTGATAACCCCAACCCCGTTGCCTGGGTATTTGAAAACATCCCTGCATCCAACCCTCTTTCCATCCCGAATTTGATCCCTTAGTCCATTTTCAAACGACACCTGAAAAAATCTTCCTAAAATTGGTGGGTGGCAGTGGATGGATCCTACTCCATTGGACACTGCATATGTCTCTGTGGCATTTAGTAGAAGTCACTCCAACCAGGAACCTAGGGATCGCTAACAAAGGACAAAAAGAAATGATGGTGGGAAATGGTGTTGAACGGAAACAAAGAATGCAGCATGATGGGAAAAGTCTGAAAAGCACTGCAGGAGGTCTTAGGGTTCAAAGTGGTCAAGATTTAAAGAAATGGACTGCTGTTACCTTTTTGCCTCAAATTACCCCTCTTTGAAATCTGGCTATTTACTTGTTCCATTTTGCCTGACATCCTGTTGCTAATAAATTTGGTTCTCATATCTAAATTTTTGAGTTATTATTCCAGTATAAATTCTTATCATTTTCTCTTTTATTTGTAGCATATAAATCATAATTCCATGCTAAAACAATATAAACAACAGTCACTTTTTGTACCTAATAAAGATGAGAGAGGGGGCTGGAGAGATGGTTCAGCAGTTAAGAGCTGTTCTTCCAGAGGACCAGGGTTTAATCCCTAGCACCCACATGGCAGCTCATAATTGTCACTTCCAGGGCATCTGGCAGTGACACAGACACAGTACCCTCACCAGACATACATGCAGGCAAAGCACCAATGCACATAAGAATAAAAATAAATAAAATTTAAAAGATGAGGATCATTAATACTGACCTGTTTTATGTGTGTTCCTGTAGTAAGCCCATCATAGTTACATGAGTGACATAATGTGTTTTATTTTTTTATTAAATTGTTATTTTAAAAAAATCCCATGAGGGGATAATAATTTTGAATATATATGTTTTTACCATTTCTCTGTGCTTAGATTAAATTCTAAAATGCCACCTAAGAACAGACATTGGTTTGAATTTTAAGAAACTTTTGAGAATGTATTGAATATTGGAGTTGAATGGCTTATTGAGCTCAGCTTTCATTGATTAAAATACCATGTTCACTATATCTAGAGTGACTTCCTAATTTTTGGTATGAGGAATGACATGTCACTAAAGTCCATGTGGTATGGACTATACAGAAGACCCTTTTGAATCAGTGTTACCATTATCTCTCTGAAGCATCAACTTCCTTCAGACTGCCAGTTGGTGGATTGGGCTCTACCTCACAGGTGGCATTTTTGAGGCAGAAGTATCACTTTGAGAGCCACATTATTAGGGCCCAGAGAGATAGTTCAGAATTTAAATGCATATACTGCTCTTACAGAGGACCCAAGTTGATTCCCAGCGCCCATGGAAGTCAGTTGACATCTCCTATAACTGCAGCTCCAGGAGATCCAATGCCCTCTGGCCTCCTAAGGTGCCTGCACTCCTGCGCACCTAACCCCAGCCCCATATTGAATTAAAATGAAGTTGTTTTTGTTTTGTTTAAGAACTATATTGTTTTCTACTTAACTTTTCTTAGTGAAAATGGTAGGACCAAAAGTCACTATGTAGGGTGAGAACCAGCTGCTTGTGAATAGGCCCAATCTATTGCATGGTTTTGAAGGTAGCATGATACATAAGCATACCGGTAGAGCTTCATTGCTGAGAGATAGTTCAGTTCTTCCCCTGCTGACTGGTGATTTGGTTGCAGAGGAGTTACTTAATCCTATACCTCAATTACCTTTTCTGTGAACATGTGTCACAGTAACACCTACCTCTTAGGGATTTTCTGTGACAAGTAATGTAATACATATAAAACACTTAATAGTTATTATCATGTAATAAATATGTAATACATTTCCTGGTACTACTCTAATACTAAGTATGTATGAGACACAACCCTGCAAAAACTGCAAGCAATTCACTTTCATAACTCATCTTTTAGATTCAGATTTTTATCCTAGTTAAAGATGCAAGTACTTGATGCTCTTCTGATTCTATATTAGTATTATTAGTATTGATTGGTATAGCTTGATAGATCACCCACATTCCAGTGACACTGGAACTTTCACATTGTTCTCAACTCTAACTCTGTGCTACATGGAACCATTTTCCCAGGATTTACAAGGACCTCTCCTTTTGGTGTGCATTTTTTATTATGTCTTTGAGAATTTTGTAGAATTGTAGATGTATTTTCATCATATTCATCCTTTCCCCAGCTCCTCCCAGATCTACCTCTCTTCCCTGTCCATTCAACTATGTGTCTTCTTTTAAATCATTAAGTCAAATTTGCCTCTGATTCTTACAGGCTTTCCATCCCCTCTTCTTCAATGATCTCTCAACAATAAGAGGAAGGGGTGTGATATCGGTGTCCCCTTTAGGGCTGAGCATAGACTCTATCTTGATGTCCCATGAGCACATGAAATAAAGTTCAATTTTGTTATTAAGTTATTCACTTAAAATAACTAAAAAAAAATCCCTTCTATCCTACTTTACTTATTTTGCTTATTGACATTACATGGACTTGACAATTACTAATCCTCAAAATGATGTCTATCCAGAATCTTGGAATATGACCTGATTTGGAAATAGGGTATTTGCATGAGGTAAAATGAGGCAATAGAAGATTGGATTAGATCCCAAACTCAGTGATTGCTATCCTAAGAAGATGGTTATGTGAAGACTCAGAGACACACAGAGAACACCACGCAGAGGCAAGGACTGAAAGAACAGTGGCATCGCTTGAAGCTGAAGCAGTCAGATGGTTACATGAGTCAGTGCTGCTGACAGTTTGATTATGGACTCCTGGACTCCTAAACTGTGTGTGAATCCATTCCTATTGTTTAAAGCCACCTGGGTTGTGGTCATTTGAGATTGTCAGATATTAAATTTAGAATTCTTAAAGCCCCTCTGCCTGCATTAGTTTGTCAGGGCTGACCTAACAAAGTACCCAAGGTACCACAAACTAGGTGGTTCCACACAATGGAGTGTATAATCCCCTAATCATGGACACCAATAGTATAAAATCAATGTGCCGGCAAGGCTTCAGGTCCTCTGAAGCCTTCACCAGACTCCTTCCACAGGTCCTCCTGGCTCTTGGCAGTTTGCCATCCATTTTTGGTGTTTCTTGGTTTACAGTTGTGTAACACCATCCTTTGTCATGCCTTCGTCTCCAACAGGTCAGTTTTCCCATGACCATCCTTGTATAAGGGCACCAGTCATACTGGATTTGGGGCTTAACTTATACCAGTATGACTTCATCATTTTCGACTTATCTATTTATATTTGCAGGTGTAGAGGGTTAAGAGGGTTAAGTTCAAGCCTAACATTGCCCTCTTCCTTTTCCCACCATTTCAAGTTTCAAGTCTTGGATTTGTAGGTATTCTGCTATGTGTATGTGACTCACAAATAAATTCAATAAATCTTTTAAAAGTGAATTATAATTGTGTTGTACTTTTTTTTCAAGTCAAGCAAGAACTCGTTTATTGATAGGCAGTTGTGTTGTACTTTTATCTGACTGGCAGAGGGGTCTGATTTGCTTACTGTACACATGTGAATTATGTCTTGTGCTACACTAGCACTAAACTGTAAGAATTTATCAGCTTTGTCATGATCCTTCAGGGCTTGTTGCTTGTTTTGTTAGATTTATTTGAGGAGAGTGTAGGTTTTAGAAGGGTTTTTGTTTATTTGTTTGTTTTTGTTGTTGTTTATATTTCACTATAGATAGCTCAGGCTAGCCTGAAACTCACTCTGTAGCACTAGCTGATCTCAGAATCACAATCTATCTGCCTAAGCCTCCTAGGCACTGAGGTTAGAAGTATGTAGCACCAATCCTGGCTGCCATCATAATTTTATGGGACCCCTGTCATTTATGCAGTACATTATTGACACAAAGCAGTATTTTGTAGCAATCGAGTATATATACGATAGCTTAGGCCTAAGCTTACCGTGAGCAACCTACTACTGTTAATGGTTTTGAAGAAACAGTAACCAAGTAGCTGATAGAAATACCATCTTGGCTATAAAAACTTGATTTTTCGATACTGTGTGAGAGGAACTGCCACTGTATTAGTGCTGCCTAGCTCCCAGAATTTCAGTGTTTCACAAGACAAGGTGATTTTTCTTGTCTGTGGGTCTGTAGGGCAGCCAGCTGGGCCTTGCTCATGGCTGTAAATTGAGCTGGATCTTCTCCATTTTTGTCATTCTAGAAGCAGCACATCTATTTTCCATGCATAAGCCATCACCATTCGTGTGGTCAAGTTCCTCTTAGAGGGATAGGACAATACTCCTTTTCCTATTTACTCTTTCTCTCCCCCCTCTTCTTCTCTTCCTTTCCTTTCCCTTCCTCCTTCACTCATCCATCCTTTCTTCCTCTTCTTTCTCCATGGAAGGGGCTACAGTTACATGGTAAAGATTGGGAACATAAAACTCTAATACAGGAAGGAAACAATTAAGAATAAGAATATGTTCTTCCTCAAAGTCCTTCTGATACCTAAGTAGAATGTACAAATCTCTACTCACTCTTTTATTTTAAATGAATACTGTGTGTGTGTGTGTGTGTGTGTGTGTGTGTGTGTGTGTGTGTGTGTGTGTGTATCTAGGGTAAGTATGTGTACCATATGTACGCATGGGCCCATGAAGGTCAGAAAGTGTTGGGTCCTCTGGAGCTAGAGTTACAGGCAGTTGTAAGCTATCATGTATGTATGCTGGGAACCAAACATGGGTGCTCTGCAAGAACAGTATAAGTGTTCTTGCCCACTGCACCATCCATCTCTACAGCCCTGAAATGACTTCACCGAAAGTTTATTGGAAGACTCAAAACCAACAAAACAAAAACAATCTAGCACTGAAATTTCAAAACTGAACTTTGAAATGTGGCTCTAATCGTGTCCCTCTTTGTTTTCTTCCCAGAAATGTGAAGATGTTTGGATGGGAATGCCATCACCGATTCCTGCAAAATACATTAGATACTTAGACTTTTTGAAGGAAGTGTATGGCTTAGAGGAGAACGGACTGTGAAAGTTTCGATTGACTCTCTTTGATTTACTGCTCTCATTTTGCCATGTTTATTTTAATAGATATAATTTCATTAAAAACAAAAAAGAAACAAGGTTTGTATTAAATGGAAATCCATAAACCACATTTAATCTTCTTTTGTCGCTGTAGTTCTTCAGAACAAACAGCCTGTTACACTGCTGATGTACCGGCACTATTAAAAATACCATTTAAAACAATGTTGACAATTTTTGTTGTATGCATTATTTATGAATACCAAAGACTCTTACAATAATTTCCATCTAATATAATTTGATTCGTTTCAATGCAAAAAGAAAATGATTTTTGACAGCTGTGCATGACAATATAAAATCAAATTATGTCAGACCAATAAGTTATGATTCTGTTAAACATTTTTGAAATCCTTTTGACACATGTTTATTACTTACATAATTAACTTTTGTAGCAACACACCTCATCAAAAATAATTCTTAAACCTCTCTAGAGTGAGTGTGTTTATTTTCTGAAGTTAGTGAAGTTATGGGGAAAAAAAACCTTCTCTCTGCCAACACATACACACACACACATACAAGTGAGAGAGAGAGAAATTGAAACATATGCTGTGTTTATATTTTTAGTGCCTTTTTATATCTAAAATCAGCTTCTTAGCTTAGGAATATATGCATGTGTATATAATAGAGCATGACCAAAAATGTATTATGCCTAAATATGCCTAAAATATTTAGGGATGTGATTGTGGAAGGTTTCAAGGGTTTGTTTTGGTTTGGTTCACATACATACTACTAGCCTCTCAACCTCCAGCCCAAAGGTTTAAGTAGCTTAAAATTACAATGGATCTCTCCTAAATTTCTGTGCTCTGATTTTTGTCCCCACACAGCAGAATTCTTATCATACAGCATTTATCTGATTACAGCCTATCACCATGGAGCTTCAGTGTCCAGAAGTCTTCTCTAGGCCATGCCAGACCCCAGTGCTGGGTGCTAGATATGATAAATCTGTTTGTCTCAGAGGCAGTAGGAGTCTGTCAAAAAGGGACTGTGCCTGTCAGGGGTCATCTTGAGGAGAAGAGGAGTCAAGGACATTTCAGGGTCCCCTCCTATCTCTTTATTCCTTCATTCTACATTTGTAGCATCCCCTTGTCCCAAAATGAGTTGGCTTCTTATATGGTCCAGTTTACTTGACAACAATGGCTCTTTCATTTTCTTTTCATCTAAACTAGTCAGTAAACTACTTCTCTCCATAAATCTAGGACAATTTCATGTGCACCATTAGAACTGACCCCATAGAGCTTTGCATTAAACTAGTATTCACAAGTTAGATACTAGAACAGTGGGCCCATAAAACGATAAATTTTATGGCTTGATTTTTGTCCCAGTTTTTTAAAAAAGGCAACCAACAATGCCAAGCTATTTTGTCATTTTAAGATTTTTCTACTTTACAGAGAGCAAGCTTTTAGTAGGTATGACACTTGCCTAGAAATTTTCAAGCTGACACATCTGTCACCTACCTATTCAACCCTTCACTCAATTGTCTTTCCCTTGAGTTTAACTGTATAGATAATTTAGCCCTTGTACAGGCTTGTAATGTAATTCAATTGACAAGCAGGAAGAAAAGGAAGTAAACCAATGATAGTGTTCCTGAGTTCATGGGGTGACGACTATTCATTCTATTTCAAGGATCTGTGTTCTTGCCCTGGTGGTTCCTGGTTCAAGCTCACAATTAACAATAAAATTGCCATTATAGGAATCATGCCGATAAACATGATACATTGCAGCTATACAGACACTTTAAATAATTATTCGTTTTATAACTAAGCCATATACCGAAGGAGATTTATAATTTAGAGATAATATCCCCATTAGTAAAGTTTATGACCCAATAAACAGCTCCCACTAGTTAATAAATGCCAAAGCCATAAAAACAAAGACTATTAATGTAATAGAATTTCTTTGCCTCCCTCTCTTGCTGGTGGTCTGAAGACACTAAAGGGAAATGCTATCTTAGGAAAAACATTTATTCTCATTATGTAAATATCAATGAATAGTCTTACACTCGAGTTGGAAATTTCCCAGCTCCCCTTGGTCCCAGGTGGTCCCAAAATGCTGATGTATTCTGCTTAGGTTTCAAGCAGTAGATAACCAATTTCAACACAAATAAACTCTGTGACTCAAATCTTTAGGGCAAATGGAGAGGAGGACTGGACTTTCTACCTCTCATCTTTCCTTCTGGCAAAGAAAAACTCTAGCTAATGTCATTGTTCTAAGGTACTACTTTTAAAGTTTCTCAACCTTTGTATAGACCTATTTTTAACTCCTAACATTTTCTTCCCTGTCATGGAAAGCAAGTGTTACTTGTGGATGTCAGGGTGAATGGAAGGTTAATATAGGCGAACCTTTTGTCCTATGAACTAATTGTTTATTAGTATTCTTGGAGTCTTGGGAATGATTGATAAAGTCATTTGGAAGCCCAAATCAAGTCATGCCTCTTTGTACAAATCATTAAAAGCTGTTGAAGTTCACAGTAATGTCTTGCTGAGTCACTGTGTGAAGTATGATTATTGTAAGAAGATGACTAATTTGCAGTATTAATTGGCCTTTTCATTGTCATTTTTTTTTACCTATTATATAACCATCACTACTGGTTGGCCTAGCAATTACTAAAATGGTTAAGATTTTAGACAATAGAGAGCAAGTGAAGAGCACTTTTGAACATATACTAGTTGAAACTGTTTTTTTTTATATATTGCCTTTGATTCAATTAATGTCATATATAATGTTATTGATATTTTTATACAATGCTGCTGAATTTATTTTCTTGAAGTTGTAGAGCTTCTAGGCTTTCAGGATGCCTTAGTCACAAGCTTCGAATAATTAAATTGCCCTTCCTTCCTTTAAATAGCAGGGAATGATTGATGAGTAAAATGAATGAGACCTCCCTCAAGTTTTTCAAAAACAAAACAAACAAAATGCAAAAAAATAGAAAAGAAAAAAATCTTGCCTTTCCAACTTGAATTTATGTCAATTCGAATGAGAACAGCTTTCCTAACCTTTTCAGCTGCTTTCTTCTTTCACCTTGCCCTTCTTCCATGCATTGTAAATATTTTAGTTATGAGTTCAGTGGCTGGAGTCTTAATGAACTAGTCAGGTTCCCCACAAAATATTTATGATATTCAATAATGTAGAATCCATCCAATAATAAAATGCCATGGTCTTAATGGTATGTGTATTCTCTTTAGTTGTTAGTATAGGTCTCTGCATTTTCAATATCCTTCAACTTTGTTCTGTAAATGACCTTTCAGACGAACAGCTTCCAAGTGATGGTAAAACCTGCAGATCCCAGTGATACATCCATCTCAGCCCTCATGTTTGCTTGGCCAAAGACTGAATGAATTGCTTTAAGCTGAAAGCAGGTTAAGACCTTTTCAAAAACGAGTCTTTTCAAGTTGACTGAGCATCTTCAGACACACAGTGCTTTTCAATTCCCAAGAGAATGTAATGTGTAAAACCTGGAAAGCCTACTGAGGCAAGATCAATGAGGCTATTGAGCAAATAATCAACCTGGAGCAATAATGGAGCAAACATCATTATTACAAAGGGTAGCACTGACTGTGCAATTAGTTTAAGAGAATCTTGCAGCTTGCTTCTGCTTGCCTTCTACCAGCTTATATGTTGGTTTAAATATGCATTCTTACTCCATGTCAATTAAGTCCCCCCAAAGTAACAATTCCGAGACACCTTTGCCACAGAGTAGCCAGCATGTTACATTTTTTGCATCTGTTTCCTGGTCCTCAGTAAAATTCCTTCCAAGGGAACTTTAGAACCTATTGTATGACTGGTGTGTGACACACACAGGAACCCAGGGGTCAGCTCTGCTGCTCAGAACTAAATGATAATAGCTAAGAAATGTGGCCTATGAAAAACTCCACAGTGGCTCTGCAAGTGAAGAATTAATGGCTCCCTGGAATCAGTAGGAGCTTTGACTTCTAAACACTCATTAGTTAAAGCAGTGAGGCCTGATGTTATGCAAGTTAGAGAGGGAAAGGGGAACCGCCCCTCCCTATTGTCTATTCTGAACAGAGTATGCACATTTAACTCAAAGTGCTGAATGGATCAAATACATCAAACCAACTATTCATCAATCTCCCAGCTTCCTGAGCACCGCTTTGCATCTGTGTAAAGCCAACAATAGAGGAAATTCTTGTTTTGACCCCACTATAATATTAAAATCCAGAGGAGCCCATGGCGTGGTAAAAACACAAAAAATGCATTCTCCTTTACAATCAGTCTACCAAAGTCATCTTTGTGTTTCCTTTTTCCTACATTGCCTGTACAAGAACAACTGACTGCCATAGGGACTTGATAGAAATTACTTTTGCAGGCTTTTTCTTTTTCTCCCATACCACTCTGGCTCTTCATTATTACTGTGAGGCCACCCATGGAATAGGGAACAGGAGCTGAAAATATCACCAGTTTTAGCTATGACCAGACCCTGCAGGGGGAAGGAGAGAGGCAGCAAGAAACAGTTGTAGAAGGGGAGTCTGGAGTAGAATGAGGACCACCTTGTATGTGTGACTCACCTTACGGAATTTGACCTTCATCCTGAAGGATGACATGTTACTGGAAGATTTGAATCTCCAGCCTGAAAAAATCATCCCTGGATTTGAAAACTGTTAGCTATTCTGTGTGTGTGAACTTGTAGGACTGAGTTTGGGAGGTGAAAAGCCTTGATTAGTTGACTATTGCTGGAGACTTGATGGATGGCTTGGATCAATGATGGTAAGATCATTGAGAACTGGAGAAATTTATGGCACATTTGGGATGTTGGAGATGAAAGAGGTGAAATCACAGTTATGATTGAGGTGTTTTGACAGCTGGGTAGATGGTGTTGCTGTTCAGTGAACTGGGTTACATCAGAGAAAAAATTGGATTGAAAGAAATCAAGAATTTTGCCTGGGACTGGCAAGATGGTTCAGTGCATAAAGGCACTTGCCACCAAGCCCCAGTGCCCCAAGTTTGATCCCTGGAACCTACATGGTAGAAGGAGAGAAGCAACTCTTGAAAGTTGTCCTCTGACTTCCACATATGCCCATGCATGCACACACATGTGCCCACAAAAGAGTTTATAAAGAAATAAGGAATTTTGTTTGAAACCAGATGTGCTGACATACACAATAATTTCCACACCAGTGAGTTGAAGTCCAGCTTGGGATATGAAA